GCATGGGAATATAAGAGAAAATAGAGATGCAGAAGTTCCATGAATCCTGAGTGTCATGCTTCAAATGCGGGCGTACGTAGGTGTACACGTGCGTGTTTAAAACATTGTAAGCATGGAACGTCGTTTGATGTTTTTTGACAGAGTGCATGCAGAAGCCTATTGCGAAGTTCCAATGTATTGAGTAAACATCATTGTAAAAGGTTTTGATCTCTGATCAACTATTGACATTGTACCAATGAAAGTGTTTCATCAAAAGGAATTTCGGATTTGGAATTTTTGCTGTTGCTGGAAACTAGAGCATAAGGATCTATCAGGATAAGGATCATTGTTTTTGTAACAAGCTCTTCATTGATATCACAATCAGCTTGCATGAAGAAGAGATGCATGTAAAATGATGACTGATACCATTGAGACATTCAAATTTCAATGCAGTCGAATCGCTTTGTAGCAATAAGATATTTGAGAAGAACTGTGAACAAGACTGCTGAATGAATATCTTTGCATGCATACATCGAAACGATCGACAACATCCGAATAGAATACCGTAGAATAGGACTTCTAAGACGTGAACAGAAAGAATGTGAACACCATATAGGGGTGGTATGTTCCAATGTACTATTTCGATGTTTCATCAGGGTTATGTTTAAACTGCTTCGATAATATGCAAATCGTCATTATCACTGTCCAATTAAAATCTGTATCAAAGCACATCAAACAAAACTGACATAAAAATACCAATCTCTTCTGTGATTTTCCTTTCAAAGTAGACCACATTCCAATCAATGAAAAATTTCAATCAATTGGATGAATGGTTTCGAGAATTATGTTGATCGTGAGGAGAACTGCTTAAATTAGGGTGGGCATTGGGGAAAGACTCCGTTCGGATGTGTTAATTACTCTGCACTTCTAACGGCTCCACAATTCTGTTTATTTTTGCGACATGAAATTTTTTGTGTTCATTGTTTTTGGTATAATGACCGATCGTTGAGAATTAATAAATAATTTTGTGAAACGACTAAAATGCTTTCTGGAAGAAGTTTGCATTGAATATGCGAATGAAAGCTGCTGGAATTTACGATAAATGTCATAAATATTGCATAGTACTGCAATGAAGAGGAGATCACCTTATTGCGAGTTTGATTTAGATCATGTTTGATGGTAAATGAAGTTGTTTGAATAGAATATTGTGGTTTCGATGGGAATCATCTCTACATTCATTCAGGTACCAAAACATTTGAGCGATACTGTGACTCAGTGCAGCTGATAGATTGCTTGAAAGCCCAGATTCTGAGTTCAGTATCCAGTCTACTTGAGTAAGGCTATGCCTATCACGTAGAGCAGGTACTAAACTCTCAGATACCTGCGCGTAATAGTTCAATAGTTTGGATGAACAGTGCATTTCTGAACGTGTTTTACATAACTTAGCGATTAAGGTATTTGATTCTGTTTATTTGGTTTCCTTACTATTCAACAACACATGGATATGGTGTATTATCAGCTCATGCATCTGTACCGTCTGATCTGATCGAAAATCACATTTCTTGGCAATCTTCAGATCTTCCATTGAAAAGAAAAGTCTGCGATGGAAAACCGTCACTTCGGAGCAGGTAGTGATAGTATCCGACCGACGGTTGCCAGGAGAAATTTGAAATTTTCGATCGGAATTCCGCTGTTCAGATTTCGATCGGTGAGCCAGATTTCCGACTGTTGGAAATTCAGAAAGTCAGTTCAATCGGATTCCGACCGAGCAATTCTGACAGTCCGCGGGAATTCCGATTGTCGGAATGATGCAACTTCATGTCGGTTGGTTTCCGATACTAATATATTGATATTGGGCAATTACAATACTGAATAATTGGTGCCGATGGAGCCATCTAGAAAGGTATCACAACACGTGAATATATCGTTAAGTTGATGATTGCATCGACAGTTTGTCATGTTCATTTTGATATAAATGCATGATAATTTGCTGATTAGAGAATGTGACTGAATTCAGAAACGAATTAGCATTTGAAATTGAGTGGAAAGATTCATTTCTTGAATGCCGAAATTCCCACAAACGNTCCCATTGAATGCAAATCGTTTCTACGAAACAACTCCAAAATCGATGAAATATTTCCTCATTAACACAACATTACCATTTGAATGAAAATGCGAAAATGAAATCAGCGAAAATGAAATAATGAAGAAACGATTTCGACGTTGAAAAGTTCCATATATAAATGAACGCTATTCAGTCTCACCTTTTAAATGGAGGCTCTAAATATAATCCTTGGTTTATGTATAGTGATAACTCAAGTAATATTATTTTCTCAAGCAAAACCATTACCAAGCCATCAAATTGGTTCAAGCTCATCAGACGTAGACCCGTGGAGTTCCGAGCCACTGCTAGGAGCCTGCAATTTGGATTTACCTCACCTAGGCGAAGCCATCCAGCCAATCCTTGACGCCATCCAGGATGAACAAAAAATTCAAGAATTCGTAGATATAATTGGTAAGGACGTCCCGAGAGGACAGCGTATGGAGCTAATGGAGAAATGGGCAGAAGAACAAGGAGGAAATATTTGGGTAAGTCACGTTTCTGTGAAGCTATTAGAAGTAAAGGTTGGTCTGAAATGCATGCCTTGAGTTAAATGCGTGAGTAGAGTAAGTTGATCTATGATTAGCAGATGATGTTCAAATGTTCTCGTGAATAATCCACGACTGCAAATTGAATAAGCACTGAAATATTCATTGAATTTCAGAATGCATACCAGCAACAACTATCAGAATGGAAAAAGCAAAAGATGGAATGGAATGCGAGACTCAAAGGACGTTTCACGCGCCTTTCGGAACCAGCAAAAAGAATCGTCGAGAGGCGCCTCAAAATTGAGAACGATCCGACAATAAATGAATTCCAAAGTGCTCTTGAAGTAAGAATATGCAAAATGTTTGCAACATATCAGTCGTTTTTATTTTTCGAGAATCAATGCACAACTTGAAATCGAATGGAATGCGAAAATGAGCACTAAAATAGTTGACCCATTGTATATTAAATCAATAAAAAAAGCGAAACGTGACCCATTGTATTGCAAATCAAATTCTTTGCAACAGTTCCGAAACGTAGTGCTCAATTCGATTTGATGGAATATCAAAATGGTATTCGAGTGTAATTTCAACTTTTACTCGGTATTTATAAGTAGGTACACAACGTACAGTTATCATTTAATAAAGGCAGCTAAATTGAATTCATGTCATAATAAGAATGGCCAAACAAATTTCAGATAGATACACTGATGGCAAGAACAGATCTTCGAGTAGCAATGGAGGTGTATGAACTTGCTGAGTGGCTGGCGAATAGTCGCAAAGAAAATATTGCATTCAACATCTTTGAGGATCTACAACGAGTGACATATGAACTAGGCAGAGTTGAGAAAGACGTTCAGATAGCAGAAAATCTCATACGGCAACTTGGCACGGATCTTTCTGAAGAACAGATCCTTATGAATGAAAAAGACGCTATTGGAGAAGCATTTAATATCAGACATGGTGGCTGGGGATATTGGGAACACTTACCGGACGGATTTAGAACAAATCGGTTAGGGATGAGGAACGAGGTTGTGGATATAGATCAGCCCAAGAAATCAAATAACACTGCGACCATATATATATCTATAGCTGAGCCAAAGTACCAAAAGCACAATTCTATATATAAGCCTGTCAAGAAAAAGAAACCAATTTACCCGAAAAAAGTTTCGCATACAGTTCAGAGGAATTCATCAAAGAAAGCAAGGAAGTCTCAAGAAGATCTCTTGGATCTAAAGATCCCAATTACTCACGATGGTTCATTAACGGATGAGCAAATTAAGGCAAAGGTCAATCAATGGTTAGCTCAACATAAGCTGAACATTTAACTCAAAAATGGGCTGATTTCTTCTCGTAGTGTTTTTAATTTATTGATCTACTCAAAACCAGGTGATCGATGAGTGTATTGTATAAGTTTTTTCGAGAATACGCCAACCACATAAATGGTTCATTTCTCTCATTTACGTTCGCGTTCTCATTCTAGCGATTTTTACTAGATCTTGTTTCATTTCTCAGCACATTTTCAATGGGCCATTACTGAGCTGTATCACTCGCTATATCTTGATAATCACTCCAATAATCAATTTCATAGTAAATAGCCCCAAAAGTTTCCTCTCATTTCGATTTGATAACATTCCATCACAGTATTTTTGCTTTCAATAACTGCTAATTCAAAGCAGACTCACAAGGCGNATTTGGAAAAATGAGTGAAACGACGACGAATGTATTCATTGTATACAATGCGAATATCTTCAGTTAATCACTCGCTTTTCTGTTTTATGTAATCCAATCATGCAGTTATCTTTATAATGTGAATAATAAAATTTAGAATTATTTGCTAATTGATTCGTGATTTTTTACGAGTGTATCAATGCGCATTTTTTCAAATGCGCTAAAAATTGTCTGTAAGACGTGTTCAGTGAGACCATACAAACAACTTAAGAAATTCCATTGAACGAACACGCGTTCAAATTGGTGGTGCATTTATTGTTTTGATGAATGAGGTCTTCCAGTTTTACCAACAATAACATTCTATTCAACTTCCTATAAATTTTTCTGTTTCGCATTGTCGAGCCTATCACTTTTTCAAAAATTGCTTCATTATGTTGCGCGTTGTACCGTTCCGGTTCTAGAATGGCTGACCACGGGTAGTTCGTTCATGTACCATACATTTCATCAGTCAATTCCTATGTATATCGTATTTCGGTGACTTACTCTCTCGAACTGTTTCCCACCGTTCTCTTGGAACGAACGATTATACGAAGATACAGATGCATTTCACAGTTGTTGATACACATCAACTTAATCAGTGGGCTCATCTCAACTTACCGAATTCATGACTTCATTAAACCATTCATGTGTCGTCAATAGCAGTCACATTAAAATTTTATCAGCATGAATAAACACTCAAATAAATGTGCAAATCAAACAAAGTCCTGATGAGACATTAACATCGAGCGATATTCCAGTAATAAACATGAAAATCTGCGCGAAATTTGATTACAGACATACACATAAGTAAAATACACGTGAATTGGTACAGTAACGACGGTAATATCAACAATAAATCATAACAACGTTCTCCAATATCTAGAAACTGAAACATTTGCTATGCCAGAGTGCATACATAGGTATATCAAACAACCTGCGATCAAAACCTATGCGATGATCTCGTACCATATGACCTTATCAAACAGTATCCTGCTCGTTTTTCACTTTGTTACTGTATGACTGTCACTTTAATAGTATACTCAGTGACTGTCAATGAATCGATTAATGTAAAAAGCGAGCAGAGATCACACGTGATAAGATTATACGGCACATGATTATACAGCTCAAGATTAGAAGATGAGTAAGCATTGCATTAGAAGGAAACCATCAAAATGAAGAATGATGAAAGATCGCTGTTAAAAATCAACTTGAGAAAGACCATAATGAGAAAATCTGCACAAAGTGGTGAATATACAGTGAATTGCATGAATGATATATGATACAGGAAATATGAACGTAACGATGAGGATTGACCGATAAAAATACATAGATATACTTGTATGCACCATTGAAATTTCAGATTAAAACCGATGAATTGAATGAATTCCGAAGTTTAGAGACAGTTTTAAATGTCAGAGTACGAATTACAGCACAGATTCTGGTATGCAACAAGTTAAGGTGTAAGCGACGTACAGCAACCTGACAATAACTAAATTTCCAGAAATCATTTTATCGTAAACGAGTGAGCAGAATGAATCGACGGATTTTTAGCGAACGCTAAACACATTCTAAAACTTAGCACCGCTTATGATTATGAGCTCGAGTTTTGAGCTGATACGGCGGATAAGGATAGATCTCCACTAAACAAGGTCACGACTTTATCAGTAGGCACACGATCTGAAGAAGTGAAACCGAAACAGCATCGGAAATGAATGCATTCAATTTGAAATTTGGAAATACTAAGAAGTGGTGAAGCACAAATTGGAATAATTAATTGTATTCAGTGGCGTACCAACGGACCAAGGTGCTTACCTCCCCACCCCTGGAGGTTGAAAGAAAACAGGAAAAAAGAAATGGGAAAGAGCAACGAAGGGAGATGGAAGAAAAAATCAACGTAGAAATATAAAACCCTCTTCAAAATCGCGCTATTTCTCAGTACCAGACCTCTGCACCCCTCCCCGAAACAATCTTCACAATGCCACTGATTGTATCTCATCAAATCAACCAATGAAACTAAACAATAGATCGATTAATACAAAGATTCAATAATTTGCATGCAACCTGAGTATAATTTCATGTATACATATATATTTATAAATAACTCCGTAGAACGTAAAGAATGACTGCTCTGGAAGCGCAGCTGAATCCATACAGTCTTACGATAACAGTACTAACCACAACAACAATAATAATGGTAATAATAATAATAGCAGTAAATAAATCTGATCTACTGAAAATATCAACAAATAATTCGATCACTGCTATCTGATTGTGTTTAATTTCACTTAGTTAGTGTTATTATTGATTAACTAAATTCCACGTCCAGCCAAAAATCATGATCAGCCGCCGATTTGACTTGTTTGTTTTCGTATAAATGTGACGAATCACTCCTGAGGTTCTTCTTTAACGTATCATTCGATAGAACTGATTGTGATGCACCGTTCATCTGATATGACGATTGAATTCGATTGTCATTATCTTCATCAACGATACCATAAAACGCCTTCAATTAGTTTCATTTACAATTTTTATTGGAATATAAATGTACGCATATCAGATACGCAATTGTTCGGCATTTTCATATTAATTACGGTGAGCGTTGTTCTAATTCAACCAAAACAGTTAAGTTTTAAATCATTTCGAATCAACAATCGTGTTTGAAAAAATTCTGCAAAAATTTTGAATGCTTCTGAAAATGAAACGCAAAGTAGCTTTAAATGTTTGATGACGAATTATTCGCATTCGATGTTCTCCAGCACTTTGCTAATAAATTCGGCTCAAATGAAACATGAAATCATAAAAATTCGAGCAATTCATCGCTGAGGTATCTATCATAAGCTGATCAAAACAGAAGAGGCAAAGGACTGAAGAAAATGAATCAAACAGCATCATACCTTCTCCAAACTTAACGAATTGTTGCTTTTGATTCCTTTCAAAGGATCAGTCGAATCGACGTTTTTCGATGAAAAAGCTTGAGTTGAATTATGCACAGAATCATTATCATTGGTATTTTTAATAGTGCCATTAAAAGCCAACTTGAATGAGTCGAATCGAGAAAGACTTGATCGAAGACGTAACGATGACAGATGTAATTCTGAAAATCAGACTCACTTCGAAACTACACAATCAACAGAACAACCCAACAACAGACCATACTCTTCCCTCTTGAAGAATACTTATTAGCTTGTAATATTCGTTGAGTAGTGTAGTTGATTTCATTTCCAATTTCCGAATCTGTTGAACTCTAATACGAATGAAGAAGGGAGAAAGCTATGTTCTCAACTAATATCTATACCCTTCTGAGTAATTCAGTGGTTGCTGAACGGATCTTGAAGCTCCAACGGTAATAGGAAATTATCGCTACAAACTCCCGCTGTATGAAAAAGTAGCGAGTCATCGCACTAATGAAAAAAATCACTTCGTTTGTAGCATAGTAGCGAATAACGCGCTACTGCCCACCACTGGATAAAACCATCTATATATTACATCAACAACTACATAAATTAAATTCAGACTAAGCACCAAAACCTCTTCAATTGAACTCAAGCTCAGGCAAGTCAAAATGCAATTAAACGATCCATTCCATATCGTCTAGAACAACGAATTTCGTTGCAGAAAGTTCAAAAAGGAACGAATTAATTAAGAACTTTCAAATGCGACACTTTCATAATGGATGTGATAAACCATTACCATCCGCATCGTTTGTGTTGTTAGTTGATGAATTTGGTTGATGAAAATATGACGACAAATCCAATTTTTTTACACTTCCACTACTGCCAACAATCGATTGCTTATTGGACCGAATATAAGACAAAAACACTTGATCGTCGTCGTCATCCTCAGAATACTGATCACTTAGATCACACGACGAATGACCAGTATTACGTGCCGGCATCGCTGAAATTGGAACCACTCATTTTTGATTTTTGTTTGGACGCATCTTACGCGTTCAAATCTATACAACCTATGCAACAGCTATCACTCGAAAATTTGATTTGAGTATTGAATCGTTTCATGCTAATGAAAAAAAACTTGATATTTCAGTGATATAGCAGTGATGCTTCGAAAGGATTATCAATTCAACTTGAAGCAACAAAAAATTGAAAGATAACGATAAAAAGTGCTCTTACAAATCGACTTTTCGTATTCGTCATACCAAGAACATAAGCTTAACACCTCTTGCATTATCTGCTCTTCATTATTCTCTTGGTCACAACTTCTGAAATTTAATACTCTTTTCCAAATCAGTAATATTAAAATTGTTTCAAATGAAGCTCTTTCTAAACATATGAGCCTTTNTTTAAAGACTACTGACGAGAATACAACGAATAGACAATGAACATTTACGTATCAGTAATAAAAAGAAATATAATGTTAATAAATAACGAATAGTAAATAACAATAATGAACAGCAATAATATAAGATAACAAAACCGAACAGAGTAAGTGCGATTTTAGCCCATTTTTCCTTTTCGCATTCGATGTCGTGATCACTGACTTGATCAGGTGTTACTGTAGGTTTTGCATTCGACTGATAACGTTTCTTTGGGGTATCCGTCTTCAAAACAACAAATATAATACTTTCACATCCATCTCATAAACAATACAATCACATTCTTATTACTTTCACAATGCATTAAATACCTTACCATATTGAACTGTTCTAAATCAAATTTCACTGTTCAAATTTAACCTGTTCATAATCTAAATCCACATTCAACTTCAAATCAGATCAAATCGAATCAAATCTGCTGAACGTATTTTCAATGCTCGTCGATTAAACATTGAAATTCTTTTTCATTATAAGGAAAATGACAATAAGAAAAATAGGAAGGCGTGTAATGAAGAAACCTTTTTGCTAGTACATCCATCCAGTTCACTCAAAACAACGCGTTTTGAAGAACTATTGAATCTAACACATCGTTCTTTTTTATGTCCAGTTAGTGGTATATTTTCCTTGAAAAAAAAAAACAATACAAATTATTATTTCGCTACTCACTTGAGAATAGAAAATACCAACAAGTATGGTCTAAATAATGAACGAGAATGGAAAGAGGATGAACAAGCGATCGAAACTGATTCAAAAAGAATAATTCAATTTGTTGCAACGAATTCTTTTCGAATGCTTCTTTCGTAGAATGAAATAACTCTCCACAAAAATCTTTCAAATATTCAATGCTTCCAAATAAATTCCCATACCTTATTCCAGTTCAGCTCATAGTCAACATCAACTGTCATTCTACGCAACGGTCAGATATTCTTGAGTAAAAGCTGTGAACCTGTAAGTAAATCATTTGCAGTATGGACAAGTAAGATACAGTATTCGTGCGCATTCCGACTTAAACGTTTCTGACGAGATACTATACTTAAGCGATGCATTCACCTTCGCCTCCCCGTCCTCAAAAAAATGTGAGTTATCTCTTTAGACCGATAACACGAAGGATACGCAAATCCGGGTATGAATTGCACCCTAAACCTGGAATGAGCCCAATCCCGGAGACGCTGCGTAAATTTGAAACAAGTCAATTTGATTCTTATCCGCTCTTTCCCAATAAACATTAGGCTCCGTTTAGAATTCAAAGTAATAATTATAATTTGAATATGATGGGGTAATTTGAACGGATTTAACAGCAATCATCGGCACTGCACTTGCTTCGAGTGAAGCATCAAAAAATAGCACAATTGTTGCTTTTGTCGTCGTAGAAACTATGCGTGGAGTGTAGTTTAATAGTTAAATGAGCACGTGAAATTATACACTATGGGAATCAGTAGATCGAATCAATTGACAAATCGCTCGGTGTTCAGCAAAACCCTTCCTCACCCACAAATGGATCTAAACCCGGCTACCTTGCATAAACTAATGTGTCGCGGAGACGGAAAAAAGTTGAAGATGAAATTTCGCAGTCAGGGATCTCGAAAATGTAGTCATTTCGATGAAATGAGTCGGAGACTGGGAATCGGGAACGTGGTCACCGAAGTTCCTCGATCCTACCGCAACACACTAGCATAAACTTGACAAGATCGAGTTTCACGACTCCAAGTTCATTTGTAGGTCGGATGTCAGTGGCAGGAATAAACAATGCGAATGAATCGCCACTCGATTAAAATTAACCGAATTGGTACTAGTCAGCAACGGCGGAAAGCTGTGATTTAAACATTTACAAAAGTCTTAACAATAATCCGGTTATGTTTTGATTACATGCTACTGATAATAGTAGTTCAAATGGAGTGACACGCTCTTTGCGTCGAAATTTTAAGACTTTTCCATTTTGAACAATCAGCTGAGGAAATTATTCAGACACATATATCAAAAATATGACATAACAAATACAAAAATTCATTGGAACTAATATGAGAATAAATAAACGTATGAGAACATCAATGAGAAAAAAATGTGTTCATTGAAATTTGTTAATACAAAAGAATCATTTGTTGAGATTATTCAGAAATAAATTTTGACGCAATGTACAAACATTCAATACGCAGTATAATACAATATAATTTCTATACATTGCTTGAAAATGAAAAATTTTTATGTGAAAAGAAATTCCGAATTTTTCCCGCTGAATTTTGT